AGACTTGCTGTCGTCTGGGGAATACATGCAAATGTGCTAGCTGTGGTGAAATGGAAATTACATTAAGCTTTTTGATAAGCGAGGGCAAAACACGCATCTAATTAAGTCAAAGAGACGACAGCGCGCTCATCAAAGAGTGCAACTAGTCATGGCATGCTTGTTTCTCATTTGCTAGTTGTCTAGTCCAGTCCTTCAACTGGTTTTGCAGATTTTATATCAAATACCAAACACAGTTCAGAAAAATAAAATGCCCTTAAAATCAATAGAAATGAAAACAAAATGCAAAATGATGTGACATGAAAGACTAAACTTTAGTTTTAACATTGTCCTTTTAGTTGTACTGTTTGCTTTTCTAAATGTCTCTAAGCATTTAGAATAATTCATTTTAAATATTTCCCCAAGTTAACACTTTTTAATGTCACCTGGGTCATTTATTTTACGTTGTGTTTTCTGAGGGGTTGTTAGGGTGTTCTAAATGGTTGCTAGGTGGTTACTCAAGTGTTGTGAGCATTTTTAACAAGTATGCATTTTTTTTAGCTGTTCTGAGTGGTTGCTATGGAGTTGCTAGGGTCTTCTCGGTGGTTGCTAGGTGGTTGCTCATGTGTTGTGAGCATTTTTAGCTTGTTGATATAAATATGCATTTTCTCACCATTCTGAGTGGTTAGGGTTTTCTGAGTGGTTGCAAGGTTGTGTTGCTAGGGTTTTCTGAGTGGTTGCTAGGGTGTTGCTGGGTGGTGTCTAATGCTAAGTGGTTGCTAGGGTGACTTGTTGATGCAAGTATGCATTTTTCTATGTATTCTGAATGGTTGCTATGGAGTTGCAAAGGTTTTCTGAGTGGTGTTGCTAGGGTGTTGCTGGGTGGTTGCTACGTGGTAGGTCATGTGTTGTGAGCATTGTTACCTGGTTGATACAAGGATGCGTTTTACTATGGAGTTGCAAGGGTTTTCTGCATGGTTGCTAGGGTGTTCTGAGTGGTTACTAGGGTTTTGCTAGATGGTTGCTCCCATGTTATGACCATTGTTAGCTTGTTGATACAAGTACGCATGTTTCTAACTGTTCTGAGTGGTTGCTATGGCGTTGCTAGGGTTTTCTGTGTGGTTGCTAGGGTGTTGCTAGGTGGTTGCTCACATGTTGTGAGCATTTTTAACTTGTTGATACAAGCATGCATTTTTCTATCCGTTCTGATGGTTGCTATGGGGTTGCTAGGGTTTTCTGAGTGGTTGCTAGGGTGTTTCTGGGTTATTCTAAATTGTTGCTAGATTGTTGCCGGGTGCTTGCTTATATTGTGATATTGTTTATATCTTTGCAAAATTTAAATAATATTATTGTCCAGCTCTAATCTGCGACTATAAGGCATGACGATATTAAGATATTATAGATTTTAACATTATATGAAGCTGCTGTGAAACTGTGTGTATTGTGAAAATAGCTATGTACATAAATAAATTTGATTCCCTGTTCATTGTCACATGACCACGTGACCTTTGACATCAACATAAAAAAAGTGCTTTCTCCTTCCATTTGAAAGCAGATTCATTCATGCACAATTAGATGTTTTATTGTCAACATTTAACGTTGTTTTTCCTCATCTGGTTTCTGACTGCATGACAGATCTCTGGCAGCAGGTGAAATGTTAGTAAAGCATAATCTTCCGGGCCTCTAGTTTAAATTCTAGGATTTCTAGCCAGACCACCACACATCCTTATTTACTCCTCGTTCTCTTTAAGCAGGTCTAAAGCGTAACGTCTACAGCGGTTCACTGAGCTTCAGGGCAGAATCTGAGCGCCGGAGCAGACAATAGACACGTCGAACTACTAACTTCACACAAAAGAGTCGGGCTATTTGCAGGGCTGCGTGGGGGCAGGGTCATGGGAATCACACCGCCGAGCAGCTGGATTGCTTTACATGTGCAGTCGGAGAATAATTAGCATCTCGCTCATGCATTTCTCGTCCTCCTCCGGCGTGAATGTTTGCTCAGAATGCAGATGAGCATCCGTCGAAGGAGGCGTTCTTTTCGTTAAAGGGGTCATCGGATGCCCATTTGATATAAGTTGATATGATTCTTTAGGGTCTTAATGAAAAGTCTATAACATACTTTGGTTAAAATTTCTCAATGGTAGTGTAAAAAACACCTTTTTTACCCTGTCAAAATGAGCTCTGTTTTTAGCAAGCAATTCTAGTCCATGTTGCTTTAAATGCTAATGAGCTCTGCTGACCCCGCCCCTCTCTTCCGTGCGGTGACCATAGACTGTATAAAAACATAGACATAGTGTCCGTGACGTCACCTGTAGGTTTCCGAAGAGCGTTTTTGAAGACTTTTTTAAGCTGAGCGAAACTAGGAAATTTATATTAACTTTAGAAACTTTCATGACTTTTTAAGATCTTCTGTAAAATCGCCTGGGTCCAATTTTCTTTTACTTTGTGTAGTTTTGATGTTTTGATTTAATTAATTCATTTTTTCGCGGATTTATACACATGAAAATACCTGGTTTATTTATTTGACCAATGCATTTCCATGAATTTTCCAGTCAACTGGATGCATTTTTAAAAATTATTTTTTATAGAGATTACACTCAAAAATTGCAATGAAATAATTAAGATGAGCAGAACTAGGGAATTTATATTAACTATAGAATTTTTGAAGACTTAAGGATTTGTCGCATAGATCGTGTTTTCTTTTACTTTGTGTAGTTTTGATGTTTTATGAAGATTTTGACATCTGTATAATTTAACTAGATTATGAATGTGACAGATGAATGAGCACCAAAATATGGTAGTTTAATTGGAAAATTTTCCTTTTTTCATTATTTTATTAATTTTTTATATTTTATTTTCAGCTATACTGAAGCAAACTACTCATTTATTTATATTTTTTATATGAAAACCTAAATATTTATCTCTTGAATATGTTGCCAACTTCATTATACTGCACACAACATTTTTCGTTTATGAAAATAATTATTAAAATCTTCCATTATTTTTTCTCTCAAATTCTCTCTAATAACCCTCATAAAAATACCAGATTTATTTATTTGACCAATGCATTTCCATGACTTTTCTGGTCACCTAGAAGGATTTCAATGCAATAATTAAGCTGAGCAGAACTAGGCGATTTAGATTAAAATGTAAGACTTTAGTCATTTTCATAACTGTTTCTAGGCAATATTAAAGGTATTGGAAATACCCAGGTTTTCATGACTGAAGATGATTTTTACATGTAACTGCTTGTTAATCATATTTACTCTGGTAAAGATTTGTAATATTCTGAATGCAACGTCGCTCTAGCATCATTTTCAAAAAGACAAACACAATAATTCCACAGAAAATGTTGTTTAATCTACTCTTCGGCTAAATAAAGATCTAGATAAAGATTGTCACATTTTCACAGCACAAACAAACAGGCACAAATGTCTAATGTGCCCGAGAAGAAAGAAAGAAAGCAAAGCAAAGCAAGCACAAAAACACACACAAACAAACAGAGAATCCAAATAAATTACCAAAGAATTCAGGCAAAATCAACTCAAACAGATTGTCATCTACATTCACTAGAGGACTTACAATGACGCTTTTGTTTCCTATAAAATATGTTTTTGTTTATCAAAAAAATTATATTGCATCTAATGGCACTTCTACAAAGTCTATTAAAAAGTCTCAACTTAGTATCATCTTTCATTTTACAAGTCAAAATTCTGATGCAGTCAAATTCTGCACAAGAAACAAATCAATAAATATTACTTACGATTATACAGTTTCACAGTCTGAACCTTTAGAAGACAATAATGCGGTATTACTGTACATATACAGCTGTTATTCAGCAGACTGAACTGAGAAACCCCTCCAACGTGTTCAAAGAGACATTAAATCTGACCGCAGAAACTTATTATTGCATTCATATTTAGGCTTTTATGAATGTTGAATAGCATCAGAAATGTGAATCTCGAATGAGGAACAGTGTCAGCGTACATACGATCGTCAAAATGAGAAAAGATGTATTAAAAAACATTCAAATGCACACAAATCATGTAAATAACCAGCATGTGAAATCTTCCGTTAGCCCACAAACTCCAGTGTGACATAATTTGCACAGAACTGAAAACGTAAAAAAAACAACAAAATGTGCAATAAAATGAATCATGATGCAGATATGCAACAGAATATGATGCACGCTTGCTTTAATAAATGCATCATCAGAAATATCATAACTGCGGGTGTTTCAGGTAGATTATTAGTCTTCATGTCGTTCGGATGTTTGTGCTTGTGAACAAACAGTTTTTAACCTTTTAAGCAATTTTAACTGGAAGACTGTGAAAAACTGCAGCTTTTACCAGAGATTTCAGTCATACTACATCCTAAACTAAATATGACAATGATTTGATAAATAAAATACATATTTACAATAAATACACAGTTAGAAATAGCAGCCTACGGTATATGAGTGTTGTATCTATCGATGAAATCAGGTTCTCACATACAGCAACTGATCGATTATCCCAACATTAGAGAGCAAATATCAGCTTTAAAAATCAAGTCTAGAGTAAACCCTGAACCAAAACCAGCTAATAAATAACTATCAAGTTTATCAGGGCCGATGAAACGTACAGCATGACATGGGCTTTTAGTGCTAGTTACTGTTACAACATAAACAATCGGTTAAATGAGCACAAAATAATAAAGAAAACAGCTGTGAAACGTTTCTGAGATTCAGTCAGCAGTGGTTCAACCATATTTCTGTTTGCAGAAAGAAGAGAGAGAGAGAGAGAGAGAGAGATGTGAAATAAAACAACAAATGCTTCACTAGATGTAAGCAACACTTGATAATAGTTTAAACTTAACTAGTCCTTCATGTCTTCTTAAACCCAGAACACCATCAAAGCACTGATCTGATGAGGGTTGATTCAAATCCAGTTCTCGACTGGAAAGAAACCACGTAATCCTGACCGAGAGCCAGTAGCTTTAAAAGGCGACGTCGCTTTAAATGCCAAGTGCTTCAGTGAAACATTTCAGTGACGAAGCCCTTCAGGAGACGAGGACACACCAAACTCTAACAGCATAAATACAATCTGCCCGTCTGTACTTCAGATAAACAGTGAAATCATAAGCATACAGTACTTCTGCAAAACTGTCTCTGTCATGATGCGCAAATGATTTGTAATAAATTACAGCAGATACAAAAAGCAAATCTTCTGGACGGAGCTGCAGAACTGGTTTATCAGTGCAATGCATTTAAATACAGTATATATGTATTTTTTACTGTTCATCAACAATTTGATGTATTTGGGACTTTGACACTGTTTTTTAACTGTTATTTATAACATATACATGCACTTTTTAACTGTTATATATACTATATATGTGTGTCTGTGTGTGTGTGTGTGTGTGTGTGTGTGTGTGTGTGTGTGTGGGTTTCCAGTCATAAGGGTTCATTTTTTTTTATTGAGATTTATACATCATCTGAAAGCTGAATAAAGCTCAGCTTTCCATTGATGTATGGTTTGTTAGGATAGGACAATATTTGGTCGAGATACAACTATTTGAAAATCTGGAATCTGAGGGTGCAAAAAAATCTAAATATTGAGAAAATCATCTTTAAAGTTGTTCAAATGAAGTTCTTAGCAATGCATATTACTAATCAAAAATTAAGTTTTGATATATTTACGGTAGGAAATTTACAAAATATCTTCATGGAACATGATCTTTACTTAATATCCTAATGATTTTTGGCATAAAAGAAAAATCTATAATTTTGACCCGTACAATGTATTGTTGGCTATTGCTACAAATATACCCCAGCGACTTAAGACTCCAGGGTCACATATATAGTGTTGTGTAAATATAATCACAGTTAATCACACACACATATGTTCAATATTTATTTATTTTAATATATATTTAATGTTATATATATATATACAGTGGGTACGGAAAGTATTCAGACCCCCTTAAATTTTTCACTCTTTGTTATATTGCAGCCATTTGCTAAAATCATTTAAGTTAATTTTTTTTCCTCATTAATGTACACACAGCACCCCATATTGACAGAAAAACACAGAATGTACAGATCGCCGGACTGTGTGAAGCGCCGCTCGCACCACTTACACGCGTGTGGTTTCTCTCGTGTGTGCACCACGGCGTGCCGGCTCAGATTGTGTGAGTACTGGAAGCTCTTCCCGCACTGTCCGCAGGTGTACGGCTTCTCGCCGGAGTGCGTGCGCTCGTGCCGCTTGAGCGTGTACATGCAGGAGAAGGTCTTGCCGCACTGAGAGCAGGTTGGGACGGAGCCGTCAGGCGAGAGCTTCGAGCGAATGCCGTCTTTCTCCTTGAAGTGTGAGCTGAGATGGAGCTGGAGCACATGTGCGCTCGGGAAGACCTTGCTGCAGAGCGGACACATGCAGACCTGCGGGAGAAGAACCCCGCTGGATGTAGAGATGTCTGAGGACGCCAGGTCGTCTTCATCCTCGCCCTCGCTGTCCCTGAGATGATGCTCCGAACGCACACGCAGCCCACTCTCCTCCTCCATCAGGTCATCGTCCGGAGGGAGCAGCGAAGCTGCGGCCTTGTTGTCGGGGAAAAGGGCAGTGAACCCTGTCACCACCGAGCTCCTGGCGCTATTCCCAAAGCGCTGGCTCTCCGGGCTCACCGGATCACCGTCCTCCTGCTCTGACAGCAAGTCATGTTCGTCTTTAACAAGTGGCTCGGTGCCCTGCTGCTGGCTGTCGAGGGCCAGCTGTCCTGAGATGTAGGAGGGGTGGAAGGCTGAACTCCAGCTTTCCCTCGTACATGAACTCCAGCAGCAGCCCAAACGCCGGCGGCGTCACGATGTCGCTGTTCAGATGCACCACGTCTCTTTTGTCCAGCTGGTCGCAGTAGAAGAGGTGGAAGTACATGCTGCATGAGGCCAGGACGGCTCGGTGCGCTTTGAACCGTGTCTCTCCCACCAGCACAGTGCAGTCGCAGAGGAAGCCTTGGTGTCTCTGCTGACTCAGACACTGCAGTAACTGGCGGCTATGGTCTGGGAACTCCATTCTTATGGTGTGACCTGCCGGAAAACAGGAAAAACTGGATGTTAAATAAACGCCA